CCTAAACCCTAAACCAACCAACCTATGCCCTGAGCCACAGTCGGCTCCGCCTGGGCCCTCGTCCACTCGCTCCGCAGACCTCCGCGAGGGACAATGCATCCCAGCCGAGGCCTCGTCGTCGAAAAGAACGACGATAGGATTGAGGGTTTAGGCTTTAGGGTTTTAGGTTATTAAACGGCCATTATCACCACAGTAAGAAGCTAAAAGAAGATCACCACTCTCTCGCAATAAGACCATGAATGCAAAGACCAGTCAACTGTCATAAGTCGTAAGAACAAATCAGCCGATGGATGTCCAGGAAGAATACCACAGACTAGGGTTTAGGGCTTAGGGTTTAGGGGTTAAGGGTTTAGGGTTTAGGGTTAGACTATGTGAGGTCGTAATCCTGCCTGGGGCAGACCGTTGCCGTGGCTGAGCTCTGCTGGTGTCTGGTTGCCACGGAAGCTCTCCTGACGGCAGCGCCAAGCGAGTCAAACAAGAAGAAACCTGAAAGGGCAAATCCAATGCCACTTTGGTATGGCAGCGATATCCGGCGGATCATGAAGGTCAGGAGGACATCGAAACATCAACAGGGTCACAGGAGTTTGTAGTTATGATATTGAGATGCCACACCTTAACTACACCAAATCCTGTCCGCAATTCGCGCTGAAGCGAAGGCCCCTTCTGGTTCGGCGTCCTCCAAAGCGTAAGGGCGCGGCCTGCCAGGTTTTTTGGGGGGCGTTTAGGGTGTCAGTTTAGGGCCTCGGGTTTGGACTTCGGGTGTAGGGTTTAGTGCCTTTAGTATGAGGGCGGTAGGGGGTGTATAGGAGCTCTTGAAGACTGAACTTGAAGCTCTCCGAATCCCGGGCTGAAGACCCCACAGCCAGGCCCCAGGCCGGGCCACGAAGATGGTCCAACCTTGACTTGGCTTGAAGGTTTAGGGGATAAGGTTTAGGGTTTAGAGTTTAGGGTTTAGGGTTTCAGGCTTTTGAGGGCTCGGAAACGAGGCTTTAGGGTTCAGGACTGGTTCAGGGTCGAGGGTTTGGGGCTTTTGGTTTATGGTTTGAGGGAGCACCCTGTTTTTTCTGCTAAGTTATGGCCTTTCGTCTGTTGCCTTGCTCAAGCAAACATCGACAATCTTGCAGGCTTTCAATCTCTGTGCTTGCGCAAGGAACTTAAGGCTTGTGGCGAAGGAACTTGGAAGACTTTGGATTCGGAGTTGCAGTGGAACGTCTGGGCACCCCAAAAGCCCCTCAAGCCTCAAACCTAAACCCCACAGCTCTATCCCTTAGACCCAAAACTCCTTTGACACAACGAGCTCCCTGACATCACAAGCTCTCAGATCCTGAAACCCTAAACTGCCCTAAACTCTCAAAATCAACCCTACTTTAAACTCTGAAATCGCTCACCACTGCTCCTGGGTGCCGGACCAAAGTCGGCAATCCGAGCCAGACGAAAGTGGGTGCCCGGAAGGTCCTGGCTTCGCTTTGGGCTTTGGGAGGAGTGGAAGGGGACCTCAATGGACTTCGCCGGCGAGTGAATAGAATCAACAATGCTTTAAACCCTAAACCCTAAACCCTAAACCCTAACCTTTCAGTCGTTCCTTCCACGTCTCGGCAGGCGGGAGCACCGGGATACCGAGCCGTGATTTTCGCGAACGTTCGGGATACAGAGTGCCGTTTAAGGGGGACCCTATTATCGAACCCAATAGTACTAAGGGCTCCTTCAAAGGGACCCTAAACCCTAAACCCCTAGACCCTGGACCCTAAACCCCTAAACCCCTAGACCCTAAACCCCTAAACCCTAAACCAGCCCTCTTGTAGGGCTTAGGGTTTACAGGGAAACTTTCCTGGAAGGAGACAGACCGGAGTTCGAAGCAAGGAGTGCCAAGGCCGCGCTCCTTGCTTCCTACAAAAATCCGACCCTCCTGCAATGGAAGCCTTGCAATGGGGATCTAGGCTGTGAGGGTAACGAAAGGCTGGTGGTAAGTTTTTCGGGTTTCGGGCTCAGGATGCGGGATTTAGGATTTAGGGTTTAGGGTAAAGGGTTTAGGGTTAGGGTTCGAGGCTCCAGGTTCTGAATCTTTGGCTTCCGGGTCTGGGATCCGCCTTGGCCAGTCGACAGCGTCGGCCAAGTCTCCTGGAGATCACTGGACCCCAAATAGTGGTATTTATGGTCTATAACAGAAGGTCTTGGTACCTTGACTTCTGCCAGAGGGCAGAGATGCTCGGGGA